CCCACCCCCCACCGCCAGCCTCTGGCAGCCACTGGTCGTCTTACTGTCTCCATAGTTTTGCCTTTTCCAGAAGGTCATGGAGTTGGAATCGCACAGTGTGTGTATAGCGTGTTCAGGCCGGCTTCTTTCACTTCGTCATAAGCTTTTACATTTCCTCCATGTCTTTCATGACTCCGTGGCTCATGTCTTCTTAGTGCTGAATGGTATTCCGTGGTCTGGAGGTCCCACAGCTTGTTCCTTCTCCTACGGAGGGAGGGACATCCTGCTTGCGCCTGCGTTTTGGTGATTGTGAGTGAAGCTGCCCTAAACGTCCGTAGGCAGGGTTTGGTGTAGAGTAAGTTGTCAACTCCTTGGGAGAATGATCGAGGAGCGGGACTGCTGGATTGTGTGGGAAGAGTGTATTTAGTTTTGAAGGAAACCACCAAACTTGGAGACGGTCATCTTGGCCATGAGTGGAAAATGCCCTGGAAGGTGGCAGCGTGGAGCAGCAGTGAGGAGGCGGTCACCAGCGATGATGGTGGCTAGCACTGGAGGGGGGGCGGGGATGGAGAAAGAGAGAATTTTATTTGGGGGTCACCATTCTTTATCCTGTCCTTGTAGACCCACAGTGCACATTAGTAGAGAAGAGATCTGCAGAGATCTGTTTAATATTGCTCAGGCCTCCAGGCTGTGCCATTAGCTTGGGCAGGGACAGAGCGAGGTGTTTTCGTTCTCTGAGTGAGCCGTATCCGATGCCCACCCCGAGCCAGGCCCAGGGAAAGCCCCACGCGCATCCCGGCAGGATGGTTCCGAGTCTGCACTCTGGAGACCAGCCACGCTTTGGCTCTCCACTGCGCACTTGCTAGCTGTGTGAGAAAGTCACCTGACTTCTCTGTGCCTCGGTTTGCCTGTTTATAAAACGGGGATAAAATCTCAAAAGGTTGTTGTGAGGGTTAAATGATGTGATGAGCACACACATCGCCGGGCCTGGCTCACGGAGCCTTCATAAATGTGACCTGCCATCGCCGTCGGCCTCAAATACTTGTGGACTTAATGCGGCCACCGGATGGGTGGGAGCACAGGCGTACAGCCCGATCTACTCACACTGAGGAGACTGTGCCCGCAGCCCCGCCCCGTCTCCACTTGGCAGCAGATGAGGTTTTCTTAGCCGTGAGCGCTCAGTTGGGCTGAACCCAAAGAGCACTTTCCAGGCCACCTTCCTGGAGAGATGACAATGGGCCGAGTGTCCCAGCTGCCTCTTGGCAAAGCCGGACTCAGTCCGGGTCCCTCTGATCTCAGAGCCCCTGCTCTGCACCACCATGCCACCTGCCTTTTAGAATGTTGTCCTAAGAGACAAAACGGACCTCACAAGCTAAATCCTATTTGTAAATCCTGAAATAAATTCCCCGGGAGAATCACAGGAGAGGGAAGCCCCTTGCATTGTTGGGCGATGTCGTAAGAGGCCCAGAGGTTGGAGCTGCTACGAAAGATCTGATTGGCGGAGGATGGGCCGTGTGGTCCCGCTGGGGAGATAGGAAACATCTAAGGAGGAACCTTGAAATTTCATTCCCCACGCCTCCCACCTGGTTTCTCGGCGCCTCTTGATAAGGGAAAGAACAGGCTCGACATGTTTCTTCGCCAGCGCAGTGTTTGTGTCTCCTCCTGCAAGGCTTGGTCACAAACAGAAGGCTTCCCCCGTGCGCAGGAGTCTCTCTTTCTCTGATATCCGAGCTACGCGGTATTTTTAAGTGAAAATAAGCAAGTTGTAATACAATATGCATAGTGTACTCCCATTTTTGTTTTTTTGTTTTTGTTTTTTTAATGTCAGTATCTGATCAAAAGAAAAATCTGGGAAAAAAGACAAACCTGTGTTGCCCTGGCCGGTTTGGCTCAGTCGATAGACCGTCGGCCTGCGGACTCAAGGGTCCCAGGTTCGATTCCGGTCAAGGGCATGTACCTTGGTTGCAGGCACATCCTCAGTAGGAGGTGTGCAGGAGGCAGCTGATCGATGTTTCTAACTCTCTATCCCTCTCCCTTCCTCTCTGTAAAATATCAATAAAATATATATTTTTAAAAAAAGACAAACCTGTGGAGCAGGGGTCCTCAAACTACGGCCCACGGGCCACATGCAAATACAAATATTGTATTTGTTCCCGTTTTGTTTTTTTACTTCAAAATAAGATATGTGCAGTGTGCATAGGAATTTGTTCATAGTGTTTTTTTAAACTATAGTCCGGCCCTCCAACGGTCTGAGGGACAGTGAACTGGCCCCCTGTTTAAAATGTTTGAGGACCCCTGCTGTGGAGAGTATTATCCCAGCGTGTAGGGCCTTTACTTTCCCTCATTCCGCACTGCTTATTGTGCGCCTACTGTGCGCCGGCCACTGAAGATACAGCAGTGCGTTTTCCACAGGCGGATTTCAGTAACGTTTGATTTCTGTACTAAGCACATGCAGCTTTTGTAACCAGAACTATCAGGAAGAATTGCTCCTTCTCCCAAAGAGAGAAATCTCGTTTTGATCACTGTTCATCGTTGAATCTAGAAACATAATCACTCACCCTGTCTTCCCTTCAACCACCTTGACTCCCTCCTGTCCTTAACCCTCTCTGGGTCCTACCCAGGACTTGATCCTTCCCCTGGGGTCCCTGGGTCACAGGTTGCAGCTGAGCACAATCCCAGCCCCAGCCCAATTTAACCACCGCAAATCCGGGCGCGCGCCCGGTTCTTATAGCCCAAGCCAACGCCACCCAGGCCGCCTCGGCCAACGCCACCCAGGCCTCCTCGCCTCTGTGTCATCTAGGTCTCCTCCCAGCACACCTCTCCCCACACACGCTTCCCGTGAACTGACCCAGCCCTTTACTCTGGAGCCTCCGGCCTCTTTAAAAGAGAAAGACAGACTTGGGTCTGAATTCTGATCCCACCGCTGACCAGACCTTGCTGAGCCTCTGTGTCTCGCCTGTAAATTCAAACACACTTCCTTGCCGGGTTGCTCATAACGATGAGAAAATGTGTGTACCCTCCTGGCTCAGTGCCTGGCACACAGCAGGTGCTTCATACCTGGTAGCTAGTACATTATTCTCACTCTTCCGTGATGGAATTTCTCAGAAAGTGCCATGGACGGAGATCAGGGCCCCCGCACGAGCGTGTTCAGCTCCACATCCCCCTTCCTCCCTGTACCTGCCATTTCTCCCTTCCTCCCACCTTCCCCACCGTGTCCTCCTTCCCTGTGTCGCCCTCCTCTCTCTCCCCGGAGAACTGTGTGCGCAGGGCCCTGAACTGTGACCCCTGTCTTTGGCGCCTTCCGCCTTTCTTTCTTTCACTCCTTCTCTTTACCCTCAAGCATGCCCTTCCAGGTGGTAATTTTTCTCTGGAAGCCCCTGCCTCTTCAGCTCCCTTTCCGCTACCCGCACTCCTGTCTCACCGATGACCTTGAAGGAGTGTGGCACGCCCTCTGTCTTCACTGCCCGCATCCTGCTTTGTCTTTGCCTCTTGGCTTTGCCCCTGCTGAGTAACCGCCATGGAGCCCTCCCGCCCCGGCCGGCCCGCCACCCTCCCCTGGCCCCGAGTTCTCTCTGGCCTACCCAACACGCTTGGTTCTCTATCTCAAAACCCTCTCACCCTGGGCCCTCCCGGGCCTGGCACACCCGCCTCTCTCCTGATGGTCTTGGTTTGTTCTGAGCAGCCCCTTTCTCCAATCCTGTCCCTACCCGGGTGTTTCCTCCAGGGCATCCATTGGTCCTCCTCTCTCACCTCCTTTCTCACGGAGAAACTCTCCACTCCGCATGCGTCATCAGCCACTCCAGGCAGAGATGGCCAGATGGGGCCCCTGGCCGGGGCCATGTCCACCAGGAGGCCCACGAAGACCCTGGATGAGCTGGGCTGGCCTTGCCAACTGAGCATGCCCAGCTCTCTGCTGACCGCCTCTCCTTAGGGTCCTCCCAGCACCGTGTTCTCCTTCAGGCTCTGGACCTTGTCCCTCAGCCTGAGCCGTCAGCTCACGGCTTTGCACACGGTGGGTACTCAGTCAACAGGTGATCCGTGGACGGCTTTTCATCTGCCACCTCCAGAGAGAAACGTGCTCGGAGCCCGTCCAAGCTGATGAACCATTTCGGAAGCACGAGTTTGGGTGGCAGCTCACGTCTTCCTGATGGGAGGGCAGTGCTGCCCTCGCCCACCTGCCGGCAAGCTCTGCTGAATGCTGTTTGGAAAGCAAAGGAGGTGAACTGAGTAGATACTTACCTTCTTCTCGCTTCTCTTTTCAAGGGTTGTCTCTGTATCTGAAGCGTCTTCTGGAACATTATAAAAAAGTCACGAGCCGGACGCAGGAACTTCAGGTAACTTCCGGCTTCTGGAAAGTTCAGGCCGGCGCCTCCTCGGCGTTTACTCAGCGCTGTGCATGTTAACCCTGCTCACCTGTTAGCGGCTCAGTCCACACCCCCCACCAGGTGAACCCGTATCTCCATCTGCACGTGAAGGGATTCAGGCAGGCTGGCTGGGGTGGCCCAGGACGGCAAGGGCAGGATGCTGGCTCCCCTCCATCAAAACCCCGAAAGGCTTCAAAGCCATCAGATCTTGAACATTATGCTTATCCAATGCAGTGGAAGAGGTGTAGCTGGCCAGAGTCCAGGCAGCAGAATTACCAAAAGTTACAGACTGTCAACATTTTAGAGGCAACGTGATCCTCCGGGATTGTATCGCCCTGACGGTCATCGCCATAATAACGCCGTGTAATAAACACCCACACCACGTGAGAGGCATCCCACAGGCACTGCCCACTGCCTGCAGGCCGCCGCCAGGTATCCACTGACCCTGATGGCCTTGCTCTGGTCTGTGCTGGCCTGCCCTCGGCCGGTCCAGGCTGGCCTCAGCCAGAGCAGCTCTGCTTTGCTCGGTGTGTCCTCGCTCCTCCAGCAGGCGGCCCAAGCATGCTCTCATGGTTAGCAGAGGCAAGAGAGAAGCAGGACCGGTCATGGAGAGCTTCGCAATCATTCTCTGTTTGTGTTACGCCTGTTATATCCCACTAGTAGCCCTGCACACGAATCCGTGTGCCCAGTAGGTTGCTGCCACCCTCCTGTAGCTCCCCCTCCCCCTCCGTCCCCCCTCATAGCTTGCTGCCAGCCCGCTTGTACCTCAATGGCCCACCCTCCTGCTGATCCGTGATCTGGTCTTGAGGTGCTTGGTCGTTATGCCTCAGGGCGTAATGGCTAATTAGCATATTCCTCTCTTATTATATAGGATTGGCCAAAGCAAGTCACATGGCTGAGTGCAGTGTCACTGGGCAGGATAGAGGTGGACACTGAAAGTCACGTAGCCAAAGACACAGGAGGGTGGAGTGTTGGGACCACCACTGTGGTCAGTCACGGGCACCATCTCGTCCGGGGGTCAGCAAACTTTCCCAGTCAAGGGCCACATGGTAAATAGAGCTTCGCAGATGGCTTGGCATGTCACACAGTCTCTGCCACCCCTGTTCGACGCTACTGCTGTAGAGCAAAGACGCCACAGAAAACACGTCAATGCATGCGCATGATGGGCACGGCCCTCTTCCAATAAAACTTTATTTACAAAAACAGGTGGTGGACCACAGTAGGCCTGCAGACCGCAGTTCATCAACCCCAGATCTAGTTCATTCTCCTTATTTTACAGATGTGGACACGAATCCAGAGGCTAGGTGACTGTTTCAATGTCACACAGTTAGTTGGTGGAAGAATCAAGACAAAAGTTCAGGCCTTCTGGCCCTAGCTCCCTGCTTTTTCTGACACTCGGCAAATAATAATTAATGACTCTGGCTACCATTTACTCTGCACCTACTATGTGCTTAAAGCTTTCCATCCCTACTTCAGTTAATCCTTAAAACACTATTATTGACCTCATCTTCTACATGAAGAAGCATCTAGAAAAAGCTAGAACTAAGATTCTATCTAGATTCTGAGTCTGGGCTCCTAACCACGGTACTCTACTGCTTTCCTACCAGTAACCAGGCTAAGCATAGATTTTCCTTGTGTTTAAGAAAGTTTCACATAAAGCTTTGTCCCTCCCCACAAAGGTAAACGACTTGTAAAAAAAAAACCAAAAAACATGGAAAAGACTGCTGCCCTAGCCCTGTCCCCCATTAGCTTCAGTGTCCTTTCTCTCATTTCAGATCAAGATCAGCAGTTCTGAGGAAACTCAGAAGTCTTTGCTGCAAGAGACACTGCGGGAGCATCTGGCAGAGAAGGAGAAGCTGAGCAAAGAGAAGCAACAGCAAGAGGAGGAGCTGAAGGCCAGAGTCAAGCGGCTGATGGAAGAGAAGGCGGTGAGGTCCCTGTCATTTATTTTTTTTCTACTGAAAATGGAGGCAATGGCCTTTTCTATGACAAATTAAGAGCGTGTCCTTAGATGGAGAAACCTCAGCAAGTCCTCGTTTGGTGTCATGGGACGAAATTACTCCAAGGAGCGAATGATGTTGGAGGAGTTAACATGGAGCTTGAATTCTGAAACTCAGAGCAAAACCAACTTGAAAAGGGAAGCTTATTGAAATTTCTAGAACTGGTAGCTCATTTGTTGAAATGCTGCAGATGATTTTACCATCGGAGTCGTCACCGCAGGTCCTGGGTTGTTCTAAGTATTTGCAAGGCCAGTGTCATGTTATTTCAGTCTTTTGCTTTCTCTTTACACATATTGATTCCAGTCATTTGCTCTTCCCTTACACTTACCAGGGAAAACGAACGGCCAAAATAGCTGCTCGCTTTTCTAGAAAACAAGCCAAGTACTAGGGGACACTTTACAGGGGCACCTCTCAAGCTCCAAGGTGCTTGAGGGTCACCTGGGGGTCTTGTTAAAGCGCAGATCCTGACTCAGCAGGTCCGGGGTGCGGCCGGGCACCCGCATGTCTAACAAGCTCCCCGCTGATGCGGCCGGCACAGGTCTGCAGACCACATTTCCAGCGACAGCCTCCGAGGAAGCTTTTCCCACAATTGCCTGATGAGAACCACCTGGACACTGGTTAAAACGACAGGTCCTGGGGCCTACCCCTGACCCCCGGAATTAGAATCCCCGGAGAAGGCCAGGAAACGGCACTTAAGAAGCCCAGCCTCGTCTCTTTCTGATATTTAGAGACCACCACGATTTTAACCACCTCGTGGCCATCATCTTGGACCAGTGGCTTGTGACTTCGGCTGCCCTTTTGTCATTCGGGAGATTAAAACATATGAATGCTCTGTCCCTCTCCCCCGCCCCCAGGTTCTGCTCTCACTGGGGTGAGGGTGTGGCTCCTGCACTAGCATTTGTCAGCGCTCCAGGTGGTTCCACCACATCCCGTCTCTCCTCCCAGCCCCTCCAGGCAGCAGCACCAGATCCCCTGGGCCCCAGCCCTTCCCCAGCACCTCCTTTCTTCCCCCGGAGGACTGCCCTGCCACTTCCTCCGTCTTTCACGCGCCAGAGCTCCGTGACCTCGGGCTTAGTCTGTTCTCGGTCACACGCCCCCCTCTCTAGGCCCCTCCAAGAGGCAGAGACCTCTGCCTGTTTCATTTCATCCTCCAGTTCATGCCTTCTCCTCAAATCTCTCTCCTCCTTTCTCTTCTTCTCTTTCTCTGTCCTTCTGCCACCTGGAGGCAATATTAGCGATAGACTTAAACCAAAGCGGACCATTTTGAAGGACAATTAGATATGCAAAAAGCTAGCATCCCAGAGAGGAAGCTAAAACCAGAAAAAGCCAAGTCTCCAGCACCTTCACAGAACCCTCCGCCACTTCCTCACTCCCCCTGATTAACTCTGCCCTTTCCACATGTCTGCTCTGATTTTTACTTTGGGGTTGGCTTTTTCCCTGTGGGTGCATGGTGACCCCCACCACATTCCACACCGCCCAGACACCCACTTATAACATCGACCCTGACAGAGGCAGGGTTTCAAGGGCCGGCTTCAAACCCCTTTTAAATAAAACAATGTTGGGGCCCACCACCCCCTGCCAAGGGGAAGCAGCCAGGGGCCCACCCAGACAGAGACACTGTTCCAGACCACTCCTATCCCGTCCAGGGTCATCGCTCCCCAGACACTTAGCATTGATCAGCTTGGCCCCAGGCACTCATCGAAAAGTGCTGTCTCAGACTTCAGCACCGGGTGCCCCGATTTTAAATGCACCTTTTTCATGCCGCATGACGCCGTCCCCCGACCCTCTCTGAAAGCACGTGTGTCAGAATTCACTCATTAAGCTTCTCATGATCCCTGGCTTGTTTGAGGGCTCTGTTTCAATGGTGAGAAATTTTAGGTGCCTTTACCAAGCTACCATTCTTTTGTGTTATCATCTGTTCACATCCCTCGCCTGGTGTCTGCACGCACTAATGGCTTAGATCCGGGTCGGCAAGCCTTCTCCGCAAAGAGCCACATGGCATCGACTTTGAGTTTTTGCAGGTCTTGCGGTCTCTGCCGTGGCTGCTTAGCTCTATCGTTGGACTGTGAAGGCAGTCATAGGCAATCCACAATGAGCAAGGAGGTGTTCCAATAAAACTTTATTTACAAAAAGCAGGCAGAGGGCCAGATTTGGCCCACAGACTATAGTTTGCTAGCCGTGGTTTAGGACGCAGGCTCTAGAGTCAAATGGACCAGCGTTTGAATCCCTGCTCATGTGGTTAACTAGTAAACCGGGCAGATTCCTTCATCTGGCTTTCCTATTTCCTCCTCTGCAAAGCAGAGATGACAGGAGAAGTGACAGCCCTTTTAATGAATGGCTAGCATGTGCCCAGCGTTTCATGTTTCTCATCTCATCTGCTCCTCGCATCCACCCAATGCAGGAAGCACCATTGCTATCCCCACTGTGCAGACAGGGAAACTGAGGCGTCTGTAGCTCCTCACTTGCCCGAGGTCACTCACCCAGGAGAGCTGCCGTCAGAGCCCCAGGTTCTACCGCTGGCCTGGCCCAGAGTCAGATTCCTGCCATAGTAACCAGGACTGTTAAACAACCGCCATTGACTTTCAGGCTTTGGAGGGGAAATTTACTGAAGAGAAAAACAGAGCAAAAGAAGCGTTAGAGGAAGAACAGAGGAAAGTCCGAGAGCTGGAGGAGCGCTTAAGCCACCAGAGGAAGGTATACAGCTCGAGGAGACGGAGTCTGTGTGGGCCCCAATCGAGGCCGCGCAACGAGCAAGGCCTGGCCCGGGCCCTGATCAGGGCCTGCCGCCTCCAGTCCCCGGCTCTCCGCGGCCACCGCCTCCCTGCGGCGTTGTGAGTTGTGGAGCCCTAACCGACGCAGCGCCTGGCACCGAGGCCAGATCCCTGCCATGGTAACCAGGTCTACTAACCAGCGCTCATTGGCTTGCAGGCGTTGGAGGAAAGCTTTATGCAAGAGAAGAGCCGAGTGAAGGAAGCACTGGAGGAAGAACAGAGGAGAGTCCACAAGCTGGAGAATCGCCTGAGCCGCCAGAAGGAGGTAGGCAGCTCGGGGAGACAGCCGGCTGCAGCCCTGACCGCCCGGGGGTCATGGAAGTACGTTCAGAAGCACAGAGGATGGTGGGTGCAGTGGCGTGCGGCTCTCCCAGAGTAATTCGTCCTCAGGAGGGCTCAGCTGCTTTGGGAAGAGGCCTGGGGGACTCTAGGAGAGAACCATAGAGTCGTAGCCTCGACGGCCAGTTGGGAAGTTGGAAACAGCATAAAATACAGCCCCAGGTAGGGCTTGGGAGCGACGTTGGGACTGGGACACGGGCATCTACTATGTGGAGATTTGGAACCCAAAGCCCAGAGCTGGAGGAATCACGGAGCTCTGGGACTTCGGGGCTGGGTGGATCCTTGAGCAACTTCCTAACGTCGCCCAGCCTACCTCTCCACCACCGGGGAATCACCCAGCCCAGGGCAGCCCACCAGGATCGGCAAGTTCCATTATTAACGGAATTCTCCTTCTTATTCGATGCCTGGCACCGAAATAATTCAGGCCGGTCTCCCTGCCCTCCTGCTGCCTACCGAGGCCTGCATGCAGGTGGCTCTTTCCTCAGCGCAGGTTCCTATCCCCGCCCACCACCGACAAACTGCGTGGCCCTGGGGCTCGCACCCACTTCCTGTTCCTCGGTTTCCTCATCTAGGAAATGGGGCGCTAACTTCTCTGACAGGGTTCCTGCGAGAGTGGGAAGTGCTGGCCGGGGGCCCTGGCCTGTAAGACCACTCTAGCCCTTGAGCTGGCGTCGTTATTCTTAGCATCATCAGAATGAGTTTCTCCGGCACATTACCGGTCATCGGTTTGCAGGTTTTGGAGAGCAGCGTGGCCCATGAGAAGAAAGTAAAGGAGGCCTTAGAGACCGAAAAGAGGAGAGTGCAAGATCTGGAGAACCACCTCACCCAGCAGAAGGAGGTACGGGAGCAGGCGTCAGTGGCTGCGGCAGCTGGGAGGAACCCGAAGCCAGGCGCGAGGCTGTTTCTGTGCCTGCCAGCGTGTGTGGGCCCGTGGGCAGATGCGGGCAGCGCCAGCCAAAGTGGCCAATGTCACCTCGCACAGCTTCCCAGCTGCATGACCTGGGGCAGACCACTTAACCGCCTGTGCCTGTTTCCTCATCGGTAAAACGGGAGTGGTGACAGACCTGCCTCAGAGGTTCAGTGAGTTCATAGACGTGAAGTACTTGGAGACGCATGTCACACACAGGGAAGAAGAGAGGATGACCCCGGGGTGGAGTCGGGGTCAGGCCCTCAGCCAGCTCCCCCTCCTCTTCACCGAAAGGCATTTATGATGCAATCCAGCAGGGATGCGGGAGGAATACACTCCAACTCGAAGTCAGGAACGTAACGAGCTCACTCGGTGGTCACAGCAATGACCGGGGCTCAGTGCCTTCTGGAGTGGATGGGAAGGAGAGGGGGACCTAAGGGGGAGGGGGAGAGGGGAGGGAGAAGGAGAGAGGGATCGCGGAGGGGGGGATGTCTGAGCTCCAGGCCCAGCAGAACTGGGGACACCCACACCCAGCCTCCCCAACCAGTCCTCACGAAAGACAGGGCACAAGAGCCCACTCCAAGGCGAGGGGCAAACAACCACCTAAACATGCACATGGTGGCTCCACAGGGGGGTTAGAGAGCAGCCTGCAGGCAGGGAGCGCAGGGCCTCTCTGGGGAGGTGACCTGGGGAGAGAGGGGGCATCTGGGGGAAGAGAATGTCACTGGGTAAAGCGGCCAAGTGCAAAGGACAGAGGCCTGAGTGAGCCCGGGGACAGGGACAGGGACATAAGGCACGGAATTGAGGCTGGAGCAAAATGGAAGCCAAATGAGGGCAGGGGAAGGACGCGGGAGACAGAGTGCGCGCCAGGTGAGCCCGTGGGGGGGGGAGGGGCGTGGGGGGCTGAAAGGGTCAAATCCCAGCCCTGCCCTTACATGCTGTGCGACCCTGGGCCGGCCCCTGCCCTCTGTGACCTAGCTGGGATGTGGGTGTCAGGGCAGAACCACCCAGGGGTTTGCTGGGAGGAGTCGGTCAGTGCATTCATTGTGAAGCACCTGCCAGGTGAGGTCAGAGTCTAGGTGGGGTAGGGAGGATGGTGTGCCCGGCAGAGGGG